TTCAAGATTTGTATATTAGGAACAATTGATATTATATAAAAATAAGAATATTGTATATTAAGATTTTCTATAAAAGGCTGATTGTTTGTAAAAATTTTAATATAAAAAGAATATTTTTGTGTATTATGTTCTATAAATTTAATTATTTAAAAATTAAGAGCCTAGTTAGTTTCTAAGATGTTTTAAAAGTATTTAAGTATGAACCAGAATAAAAAACTTTTGAATTGTAATAATATTTTTAATAGTATAAAATGAATATTTTATAAAAAGTAGGTTGAAGTAGTTGGTAGTGATAGTTTAAGAATGGGTTTAAAAGTTTTTCTTTTGGCTAAAAAGTTAGCTTAGTTATAAAATAAATTTGTATATAATTTAATTTTTAAAATTTATATATTAAGATTTTTAAGAGTTTTGAAATAATTAATAAAAAAGATAATATCCTAATTTTTAATATATAGTTGTTTTAAAAAAAAAATATGTTACAAGTTTTTGATTGCTGTTTGGTTGTTAAAATAAATTATAACAGTAACATTTGATGGAATAACTAAGAGAAGTGATAAAACTGCTTTGAGTTCAGTGTAATTAGTATCAGCATATAATTTTATGCTTATATTAAAATTTATATTGATGTTTGTTTTACAAATTCAGCCTATACCTAATTTAATATTTGGTGTTTAACAGTCTTTAATAGAATCATCTGTATAAAAAATTAGATTGTCTAAATTAAAGTTTCTAATTAAGAAATAGAGTTTAATTAATTACTTTTGATATGAAATTAATTTAATAGTTTGTTAAATGAGTTGTATTTTAGAAGAAGTTAAATTTATTAAAAAATAAGAAAAAGGTAAAGGTTGAAAAAATATATGATTATTAATATGAATAAGTAAAAGAATTTTATTATAATCAATTTGTAGTAAGTTATTAGTAAGTTTAAATTAATTGTAAAAAATACTAATAAATTGAAAATTTGAAATTATTAGAGATAAGGTGAAAGTGATCATATTAAATCCAGATAAATGATTATAAGGTTAATAGAAGTTAGTTTGTTAGAAGTAAGTTTGTTGAGAAAAGAAGTTTGGTTGATTATTACTATAGAAGATTTTGTAAAAAAAAAGATAAGTTGAAATAAAAGAAAGAAAATCTATTAAGTTAATAAAAGAGTTTTTGAAGAGAAGAGTTAGATGAGGCCAGGTTATAATAATATTGTTGTTTTGGTTAAAAGAAAAGATTTGTATAAACCATGTTAGTTAATAGTCTTGTATAGGTTTGTTTGTTTGTAGATATATATTATTTTATAGAAGAAAATATAAGTTGTTTGTTGTTGTAATTTGTTCAAGAAATAGAATTTTGTTGTTTCTTAAACTTTGAATCATTAGGTTAGATAATTTTGGAGAAAGTATTTCATATATTGTATTATAATTAGTAAAGATTTCTAATAAGAATAGAAAGTTTAAGAATAAGATATTGTGTTTTGCAAGTTGGCAGTAATGAAAGATTAGTATAAAATTTTATATTTTGTAATAATAAGTATTAAGTATATCTATTGTAAGTTAGATTGCCAAATTTTAAGAAGTCAAGCTTTAATATGAAAAGTGCTAATAATATTAAATAAAGATGTAAAGTAGAAAGTACATTCAATATTAGAAGCACTTAGTTTTTGTATAATATTATTAAGAATTGGTAGATTAAAGAATAATAGATTAGTAAGAGTAATATTGTTAGTATTTTTTGCTAATATTAGCATTTTTTTGATTAAATAATGAATATGTAAAAAAGTTTAGTTTGAGAATTTTGGTAAATTGGAGTTATGTTTAAAGCATAGTAGAGAACATTTAATGATTATGCATAGTAATACAAAAGTTGCATTTTTGGTACATTAATAATTATGTTTTTGATTAATTAATTATTAATGCATCAAAAACATAATTGTAAAAATTCTTGTTTGTTTGCACACATGTCTATATTTGTACTTTAGTATAATAAACAACATGCAATCACACAATATAATAATTATATGCTTTAATACACAATGCTATACATTAACTTAGTTTATAGTAAATATTTCAGAAAAGGTTAAAGAAAACTAAAATTTGTAAGAATATAATTTTTTTGTATTTAATAAAATTAAAAAAGTTTTTAATTTTGTTAAGAATAGTATTGAGAATTAGTTTGGAAGAGCCATTTTTATTATAAAATATGCCTAGGTATTAGATAATATCTTGGGCTTTTCTAGAAGAAATAGTTTAGTTATTGACAGTAAAATTAGTTGAAAGTGAGGTAAATAGTTTAGGTTTAATATGTATAAGATCTAATATGAAGAGTTTATTTTAATATTGTTAAGTTTATAAAAAATAGATATATCATTAAGTATATTTTGTATTGTAAATAGGTTTTTACAATGCTAGATAATATTATCTATATAGGCTAATAGAATAATAATAATTAATTAAAAAGAAGTATTAGAAATAATATTAAAAGATAATTGTGCAAATATTTTAAGAAATTAATTTTTATATTTTTGGTTAATAAAGAAAAGAATAAAATTATAATAGATATTCCAAATAAAAATAAATAGGTTTCTTTTTGCTTTATTTCAGATTTAATTTGAACTAATTACATAAGATTATGACTAATAATGATTTTAGTAAGTTGAAAAATATGTAATTCTGTAATAAGGTTTATACTAAGAATTAGAATGCCAATTCATTTGCAGGCATCTTGAAGTTTTGTAATATTAATTTTATTAAAAACTTTAAACATATCTTAAAATAATATGCAAACTTTTTTATTATTAGCTTTGTAATATTTAGTATATTATATAAAATTTGAATTGAAGTATAGATAGAGAAGTTTTTAGAAGCAGTAAAATTAAAATTGAAGAAAAAGTTATTAAAAGTAATAATTTTGTCTAGTCTGGATGTAAAAATTTTTGTAAAGGTTTTCTTAAAAGGTTCAATAATAAATATAAAGTGTACTTAAGTAAGTATATAGTTCTAGTTTAATTTTTAGAAATAAAAAAAATGTTAGAAGATTTCTATTTAATAAGAACTTTTTGAAGTTAGAAATATTTGTTTAAGAAAACTTTAAAAAGGTTTAGCTTGTGTATTTAATATATTCATAGCAGATTTTAGAGAGGCTAGCAGTTTTTTGATTTGGAAAATTAGAAATAATCTCTTGGCATTCTTGTTATATAATTTCTTAAATAGGATTTTGGTAGTAACTTTTAAGTTCAGAATATGGTTTATAGAGATCAAAGTATTTACTAATTGATGAAATAGTTTTAAAAGGTTTTAATTTAAAGTAGATAGTAAAATAAAAGTAAATTACATTAAGTATTTTATTATATTCAGTTAAAAGTGAGTTATTAGTTAATAATCTGTTAATATATATATTGTTATATTTTTTAAGAATTTTTTTGTAAAAAAGTTTAGAAGTTTTTAAGAAGAGTTTGTTTTAATTATTAATTTTTTGTTTAATTTCATTATAAATAATTTAATTTTGATAGTAATTAAAAGCAGTTTTGGTAAAATAAAGTTTATTTTTAAGATAAGAGAAGGTAGGTAATAGGTTTTAAATTGTATTATCAGAATATTTAGATAAGTAGTTTTGAAGTAATATATTAAAATTAGATAATTTTTAAGAAATAGGATTTCTTTATAGTAATAATAGAGTTGGGAATACTTAGAAGAATTAGTTTCTTTAATGCTTTTAATAATGTTTACTTTTTTGAATAGAATATGTTTGAGAGTAGCTTTAATTAGAACTTTGTAATTTTGTTTCAAATATTGTTAAGTTGGTTTTGATTAGAGATTGTAAAAAGTTTAATAAACAATTATTAAAGGTTTTGTATAGTTTAAGTAGCATAATTCTTAAGAAAGGTTTTAGAGCAGTTTTTTTAAAAAAGATTTTTATTTTTCTATTGTTTGTAAAGTTTTGGTTTATTACAGTTGTATTTGGATTATATTCTTTCTTTTTTTTAGAGTATTTTCGAAGATATATCTAAGATAGGAATATAACTTGAGTATGATTCAAATTTAATATATATAGTCACATAATATGTAACCAATAAAAATATGCTATTTTGAATAATATAATCTTATTTTAATAAAAATAATAATGCTGTTAAAGGGAAGATTGGTTAACATCAATCAATTAAAACATAGTAACAATGATACCCAAAATAATTATAGATGCAGATTTGATTTGGCAAGATAAGGCTTGTTTCAGGTATATTGTGCAAAATAGCATTGGCAATTCAGACTTCAGTTTATCACTTAGAATAATGATGATCTTTTTTCTTTTATTAACACCATCATTATTTTTATTTTAAGTGAACAATAAGACTTTTTATATCAAAAAAAGTACATTTAGACTTTTATCTAATATTACTAAATTGAGTATTAGAGGGAATCTACAAGCTACAATAATTTATTTATATAACTATGACACAAAGCTATTATTTAATAAGCTTTGCCTCAAGCCAAACCCAATATAGCATTTTATTAGATGCTACTTTTACATGCAGAGTTTGGTGGCTTAGCTTTAGTTCAAAACCTTGACTCAGGTTATGATTACATTTTCTATATATTTATAGCTAAATCATATTTTGTTTTTTATAATGCTTATCAGCTAGATAACTATACAATATATATTTGAAAAATGTTTGATAAAATAAATCTGTATAAAAAATATTATTTTAAATAATAAAAATAAATTTTCAAATGTTTTAAACAATAGTTTATGCTTATTATAAAGTAAGTATAGAATGTGAAATTTATTTAAAAAAGAAAATTTTAATAAAAATCATATTGATTATTTTAGTTAATAAATTCTTTGCTTTAAGCTATTATTTTTTGGCACATGTATTATAACTATATTTATTTATATAATTAACTTTAGTATAGAAAAAAAACAATGTCATACTATTGATTTGTAAAATATTTTTTAATAATCATTTGTTTAAGATTAAATCAGTAAAAACTTTCTGCTCTTTTAATAATTTGTTACAACAAATAAATATCATTTTTAGTAACAAATTGTAATTGCTCAAGATATTTTTTTATAACTTTTAATGCTTTTTTTTCCTTATTATTTGAGACCAAGTCATCTATAACTTCTTCTTTCTTCTTATTCTTATTATCTAAATCTTCATTATCAATTAAGCTTTGCTCTTTAAGAATTTCTCCAATAACAGACTCTTCAGTTAGTGCATTCATTGTTTATATTTTCTTATCTGTATTTATATATTTTTCTGCTAATAATTTAGTACAATTATATGATGTTTTTAATTCTTCCAATAATTGCTTAAGCTTATTTATATTATTATTATTACTTGTATTAGCAACTAAGTTCATCTTTAATAAAAGTATTTTTATTTTATTTTAACAATGTGTAATTATTGTAAGTAATACTTGTTTTTATGCATCAAAAATTAAATAAAAAGCTTCTTTAATATTAATCAGCTTAATAGATTTTCTATTATCTATTTCATCTAACTATTTTGTTACTAGTAACTTATGATAATTAACCTTAAAATTTTTAATAATGCTAGTATTACAGAGTTGAATAACTAATATAGTATTAGGTGACAAAAATTCTAATTTAATATTTTGCAACTTGGAACTTAAATGTGTATAAAAATTATAAGCTAAAAGAATTGTTGACTGATTAATTTAACAATCTAACTATTTTAACCAATTTTCTTTTTTTTTCTGTTATTCATGCTTTTTCATTATTAGAATAGTATATAGAAAGTTTGGACATATTGGTATATTTTATATGCTGTAAATATGCACTTTTACTAATTACAATAGTTTAAATTTTTGTAACCCTAATACATTATAGCAAAAAAGTATAATGAGATATAACTTGTCCTTCTTAAATCCTTTAGCAGTATTACTTTTAGATGCAAGTGTTTTATCTAGTCCAAGACAAAAAAAAAGACCTGTCTTATCTGCATTAAGAATATTATCAGAATAATAATTTTTAAGTAATTCTTGAAAATAATGTTATTCATTATTAATTGCAGCTTAATTAGCTAATGCACTTTCTTCAAATATAGTTTTGAACTAATATTAAATTGTTGCTAAAATCTATATACTTAATTATTAGATGCTTCAAATATAGTTAAAAATTCTATATCATTATTTTTTAACTGTTCATATATTAAGAGTGCTTTTATTTTAAGTATATTCTGTGAAACAAGAACATTTTGAGAATAAAGTTCTAAAACAACTTATATACAGCCTTATGATAATATAAAATTGTTCCTTTTGTAAATGAACACATTGTATATAGAAAAGTGTAATATTATATAGCTAAAGATATTTGTCTTTTTTTTGTAAAATATTGCTTATTGTAGATCTATTAACATAATATAAATCCTAATGAATTAGTTTTATATTTTTATCTTACTTTTTTATAATTTTAATCTTCTTTTCTAAAGTAATAGCAGACCTTTTCTTTCTTTTTTTGCTAGACTCTGCTATAAACATCTTGTAATAAACTAAGCAGTATTAATGAATAGGTATAAAAATTTTTTTTTAAATAAAAAAAAAATAGATTCCAAAAATGTGAACTTTATATTATATAATAATGAGTTATATTAATTTTGCATTTAATAAATAATATAAATTAGGAATGTTTTTGTTTTATTTTTATTCTAATTTTAATGCAAAATTTTAAGAATTAATTTTTTATACTTGCAATCTGTAATATTAATTATTTCATATATAGCTATTATTATTTTATATGAATTTGTATAATGTATTAACTAGCATTTTTTATTTTTTTTATTTTTTTGCTATACAGACATCAGATACTACTAATAATTTTATTAAAACTTGTTAAAAAAAATTTATTATATTGTTTGAGCTTATGACTGAAAGATCTTTAGTAGCATATGAAATTAGACCTTTTTCTTTTATATTTTGCAAGCATTTTTAATTTTTTAACAACTACATAGTATCAGTAGGCTTTTCTATATTTCTTATTTAGATTGTTATTTACAATTGCACTTTTACTAATATAACAAAATTATCATCTATATTTTTATAATACACATTTAATTATAATCATATTACTTAATAATGAATTATTATTCTGTTTGTATAAAAAGATACTTACTAATTTTAATACTCTATTTATGTGTTTATTTAAACTACAAACTATTAATTATATATATTTAATGCATTGACACTAAATCACTATATGTGGGATTTACTTTGGATTAGATATGTTCTTTTCTGTTGCTTCTTTTGTTACTTTAACATTTCTAATAGTCATAATAGAACTGATAAGAAATGGTTCAATATTATTGGTTCTAGGGTCAGAACCTAACTTATTGATTACAATTACATATAAAATATCAAGCAAAATAAACTTTACAACTAAAACAGTTGTGACATATTAGAATTTATTTCTGCAAACTAAATTGTACTTAAAATCACTTTACAGATTGCAAACTTAAATGCAAATAAAAAACTAGTTAGGCAAGTTTATAGCTGCAAAAATTATATAATCTAAAATATACAAAAAATGGTCAAACAAAACTAAGCTAATAATTCTTTATTGGCTTAGTTTAGCAAATAAATATTAACAATTCTATAATTATTAATTCATTTTGTCTAATATTATTATTTATATATTTTATTTGAGATATAAGTTAGGCAGATTGATTACTATTTAAACTATAAGATACTGGAAATAGAAATATTATTTAAGTATAAATATAAAGTGTAATATAAATTAGATAAAATAAATATAGGAAATTTATTCTATTAAAAAATAAAAATATAATTAAGATTAGAATTCAACCTAGTAGAAATATAACTCAGATATGACTGTAATTATAATAGAAATTTCTAAGATAATAAGATTGTAATTAGATTTTAGTGAGTAATTTTAAAGTATATTAATATATTCAATATTTGTAATTGATATATTGGTTCATATTTGATTAATTCTACTTTGTATATCAGATTATTAAAAAGTGTAATTAGTATTATTAGAAAAAAAGAGTCAATAAATATCTTTGCATTAAAAACTAGAAAAAAATATAATAAGTTGATGTTTTAAAATAGATGGTTTTTTAAAAAAAAACTGTTTATATAAGAATTAGGAACTTTATTAAAGTTATTCATAATTATAGTTTTGTAAAATAAGCTTTAAATTAGTAAGATTGCATAATTAAAAATTTCATTATACAGTTGTTTCTTTTCTTGAGTTGTAATATAAATTTGAAGAATCCTAATAGAAGTGTTTTTGAAATGTAAGTTAAAATCAACAATATAACCTTTGTAGTTATAAGAGCATGCAATATATTTGGAGATATTTTTATAAATAAGAATGCTTACTTCAGCTTGATGTAAATTTTAAAAGAAACTTTAGAAGCTAAAGTAATTAGAATTTTGTATTTTAAAGTATTTAGTTTCTTGTATAGAGAGATGTATTTTTAGAAGGCCTAAAATGTTAAAAGTCTGAACATTAAATATTTTAGTGATTGATAGTTTTTTGTTAAATTGTAATAAACTGTTAATGTTTAAAAAACCTATTTTAATAGCAAAAGAAGTATATTTGATTGTAAAGTTAAGTAAGTTAGAATTATTATTTGTTTTTTTAATTATTGATATTAAAATTGATATAGGGTTTGTATAAAACTTAAGTAATATATTATATATCTTTTATAATAGAAGAAATATGTAATTTGGCAGATGTTCTGTGTTATGTGATAGGTAGATATATGTTTTTTTTTTATCTTTAGTTAATAAGATCATAACAATTTTTTTTAGATATAAGACATGATTGTCAAGATAGAGATAAAAGAATTATATAGTTTAAAGTTATTTTTTGTTTTTTTTTGTTTTTTTTTGTTTTTTTTTTGTTTTTTTTTTATATATTAAGGCTGATATTAATAGTAGCTAATGCTTTTATTTGTGTTTTTAGTAAATACATTATATATTACTTGTACAAAGTAAGCATACAACTAATCACATATATAACTTTTAGTTACTTATTTAAGTAGTCTGCCTAAGGGTTTTATACTAGCTGCCATACCTATAATCTACTAGAAAACTATCTAATTAAACACTCTGGTCCTTATACTACATCTAAACAATTAGCTATCTCAGTTCTTATATATTTAAATGCTATTTAATCCAACATTATGACTTCTTTTTGTATGTTTATCAAGTTATTATATAATTTTAGAACATATCATCTGACTGTATAAATCTGTAAAAATTGAAGAACAAAAAGCCTATTTGAGAAGACCCAAGTAGAGAGATAATACAGATCTTTGATAGTACTACTGTAAAGGCTAGATCTAGGAAATGAATACTAATATAAAATATCCAAACAGACAAAAACTTCTGAATAGGAGGTATCACTAATTAGACCACCAGAATTCTAATCAAAAAGATTGAAAAAAAAGAATATCAGGCCAATCTAATATACCAATAGACTGGTTGTAGTCCTACTAGACTATCTGGATTAAAAGTTTGAAAAAAAAGCAAGGGTATACTAAAAGTACTAGAGATATGCTGTGAAGTAAGTACTAGAGTCTGCATAAACTCTGCAAGAATAAGCTCTGTTAATGGTCCTAGAGTAGATAAGTTAGTTAACAAAAGAGCACTTTGAGCTCTACAGTTACAAGAACTTATCTTGGGTTTGCATCATCTAATGCCAGTCTGCATTCCTCTGTATAACCAGTTATACAGATGCTCTATAATCTGTTAGTCATGATAATATAACTATAATTACAGGTATTTTAATTTAATAATTAAAAACAGTTGTCATAATATAAGTATTATATAGGTAATTATTCAAATTTTCATTATTAGTAGGATTTGAACTTACTACCTATTATTTGAGAAGTTGACAACTTATCTATTTCATTAAGTCATCACACCTCTTGAGGTTTTTTAAAAAAAAGAAAATTGTAATATAATTAATATTTATTGTAGCAAATGTTTAAATTATAAAAGTTTAAAAATGTTAGTAATAATTTGAAAAGGTTTTTTTCTGTAAAGTTACTTATAGATTCTATAAAAAGTGTTATTAAAAAGGATTATAAAAGGTTGTAGATAGTATGATAGTAGATTTTTTATTTAGAATAAGATTAGTATTTGCATTAGATTAATTAGTATTAATAGTTTCTTGATTTGTATTAGAGTTAGACATTATAATGTTATTATTAGAATTTGTTAAAAAATTAAATAATGTTTTGTTAATTTTTTTAAGTTGTGTTATAAAAAGTAGTTTTAATATATTTTTTGTAATAGTTTTGTTGAGTTTAGGTTTAAAGAAGTTTGTATTAATTTTAGAAGCTTTAAATTAAATTTTAAATTTAGAAAAT